TTTTAGGGGGGTGTAGGGTTTTAGGGTTTTTTTGCTTAAGGGTTTTAGGGTTTAGGGTGTAGGGTTTTAGGGTTTCTTTTTTTAAAAGGGTTTTAGGGTTTAGGGGTCTAGGGCTTCAGGGTTTAGGGTGTAGGGTTGAGGGGTGTAGGGTGTAGGGTTTAGGGTGTGGGGTGTAGGGGTCTAGGGTTTCAGGGTTTAGGGTCTAGGGCTTCAGGGTCCCTGACGGGGGGCTTTTAGGGTGTAGGGGGTGTAGGGGTTTTCAGGGTTTAGGATTTAGGTTTTAGGGTTTAGGGGGTGTGGGGTTTCAGGGTTGAGGGCTTCAGGGTCTCTGAGGGGGGCTTTAGGGTTTAGGGGGTGTAGGGTTTCAGGGTTTAGGGTGCGGGGTTTAGGGTTTCAGGGTTTCAGGGTTTAGGGTGTAGGATTTAGGGTTTCAGGGTTTTAGGGTTTAGGGGGTGTAGAGTTCCAGTAGGGTTTAGGGGTGTAGGGTTTAGGGCTTCAGGGTTTCAGGGTTTAGGGTAGTGTTTCAGGGTTTAGGGTGTAGGGTTTCAGGGTTTAGGATTTAGGGTGTAGGGTTTCATGGTTTAGGGTTTAGGGTTTCAGTGCTTAGGGCTTAGGGGTGTTATACTCTTATTCTGAAACTTAATATGGTTTTATAGTTGTTGAAACGGTGTTGTAAACAGTAGAAGTATTGAAACTGGCTTGAAGATGGTTATTTAGGGTCCGAGAAGGTTCTGTAGAAATGGTTTTGTGATTTATCATCGAGATTTAGAGGCGCTTTACCTCAGGTTTTCTTATTATACTATAATATGCCGCGAAACCCTTAACCCTAAACCCTACGAACCCCTATTCCAAATATTGAGTCCCCCCAAATCGCGGCGAAAACTCCCATGTCCCAGTTGTCTGCGCTTCGTGTCTAAAATTAACCCTAAACCCTAAACCCCTAAACCCTACACCGCTAAACCGTAAACCCTAAACCCTAAACCCCTACACCGTAAACCCTTAACCCCCAAAACCACACCCCCCTAAACCGTAAACCCTGAACCCTAAACCCCCTAAACCCTCAACCTAAACCCATTAAACTCTTAAGCCCTAAACCCCTAAACTCTTAAACCCTAAACCCCTAAACTCTGAAACCCTAAACCCCTAAACTCTTAAACCCTAAACTCTTAAACCCTAAACCCAGCTAAAATCATGGGCCTATCAAGGCTGAACCCGGAAGGCCTGAAACCGACAGCAGCCGCTACGCACGCCCGCGGCCCAAGGCGTAGAATTGCAGTTATCATCACCATCCCTTACCCTCAAAGGACTCATGTTGTAAGGCTTTTGGGCCTATTATAAAAGGCCTTTGGGCTATTCTGATGCTGAGGGCATATTTGGGTCATTTCCTGTGTTATATGCATGTACGTCAGGCGATGCATATGTATGTATGGGTAGGGTAGTAGGATAAGGTACTAGTAGGGCAGATTAGAGTAGGGTAGGGTAGCGTGGGGTAGGGTATGGTGTGTGTATAAATGAATATATATATATATATATTATATGTTTATTTATTTATTGGTTTATTTCTTTGATGTTATTATACACATCTTCTTGCACATGCGCGGAACCATCTCGTGAACAGAATCAATCCTTCGATTGCACGACCTGCTGAGAACAGCTGTGCGCCCAGCATTTTTCAAGCCGTAGTTGTTGAGATAGCCCGTGGTCTCGTTCAAGTCGTAAACCTGAGAATGCCAGGGCTTGCGGTTTCAAAGCCCAGGGACCCAGGTAAGCATTCGTGCTCCTCGGTTTCCGAGGGGTCATTTGGGGTTGTGCAAAACACAGATCAGGCCACGCCAGAAACGGGAAGCTCCATGTCGCCCAGGCGCATGCAGCCACAGGGGTATCTCATCTATCTGATCGTCTTCGGACTCCTGCGGGTACTATCCCAACTTCTGATTAAGACATTCAATGTTAAGACGTGCAGGATTTTCAAGATTTGGCCCGAACTCTGTAAGGATATCCAACATGCTGTCCCTGCAACATGCGGATTCAAGGGCTCAGAGAGCGGAGTACTCGCTTCGTTGCTTATGGGATCTCGATCTCGTTCTCATGATACTGATAGGGTTTCGGTTTATCGTTTGGGGTTTCGGGGGTTTAGGAAAGGGTTGCGGATTTTGGAGCAGTCTGATTGTAATTCTAATTAGTTAGGTGTTTCTCAACGCTTGTTTCAGTGGGTAGGGAGGATTTCAAGCATTGTCCCGAAAGCCGCGCCACTACAGCAGATCTGATCCCACCCGCTCCTCCAATTCATTTATTGTAGCAATACCTACAGTACTTGGGCGAAACGGTGCATAAGGTCCATCGTTAAGATTTGCATTTTGCATATCTAAGAATCCAAATTTTGGCAAATCAGCAAAAGCTTGCAAGCAAGAAGGGCCAACACAACTCAAACCGTCATCGGCGAATCGCACAGTCCATAAGTTCTAAACCTTGACTCCTAAGCCGGAAACAAAAATGCAGCGGCTCCTCCACCGTCACATCCGACGGCTTGGACAAGCCCTCCTGTGTTGGCTGGGCCGGGCAAGTGGAACTGTGATGAATAAGGGCAAGTGCCGTTTTTGGTGGGCATGAAGTCACTTTACTCGTATGCAGAGGACAGGAGCCCAAATGTTGTGACAAGCAGGTACGACATGTAGACAAATATCAAACCCTAAACCCCAAGCCCTAAACCCATAATCATGATGCCCTAATTAAACTCCGATTGGAAGTCACTGGTATACGGCCGCCATGCCTCTCTGTAGAGATTCACTTGCTCCTACTGCCGCTGCCCCATACGAAGACTGGCGTTGCAAGGATGGCTGCGACTATTGCCAGCAGGATCACGCAAAACTGCAGGGCTCGAATCTACAGTGCCATCACGCTCGGCTTTCGACGAAAGCCGAGTGTGACGGCACCATAGAAGGAAACAGGAAAAGAGGTGTATACAAAGACAGACAAGCGGAAAGAAAGATTGGTAGATCAACAGTTACATCGATACATCTGCTCAGACGCGCAAGTTAATGCAACCAGATGTATCGTGCGCCCCTCGATTCCTCCGGCGCTTTTGACGCGCTCGCTTCCACAGCGCTGCTCGGGTCCGGCATCGTTTCTTGCTCCATGGCCATGCAAACTATCAGAGAAGTGATACTGAAGCGTTCTACAAAGGCTCTGTCGGGGTAACTACTAGGTCCTACGAAGGGCTCTGTGCGGGCAGTATTGGGGTGCTGTAAAGCCATGTGGATCAGGGCTCTTGCTGTTACGGGCATGTCTGGGCAAGCTAGTGCATGTGCCCATGACAACTTTGCCTTATTTTGACTAGTCGGAAACACAACAGCATCTTCAACATCCGCCGTATCCTTATAGGCACCATGACAAGTAGAACTAGAAAGAACACGATACAACATCTTCTGCAAGAGCCGGCGGCTGAGCAAGACGCAGAAACAGCGACTCAGGTTGAATCGGGAGCATGGCGAAGAAGGGTTTAGGATTTAGGGTTTAGGGTTTAGGATTTAAGGTTTAGGGCACCTCAAGGAAAAAAGAAACTGACTGAGAGATGTCTACTATGGGTATTGATTCATGCCTCTTGTGATGGTAGTTCTCCGTATCCCAAACCCGGAACCGAACCTTTAGGGGGGGGTTAGGGTCAAAAGTTGAGGGTTAGACATCTGGCAACCCTGCTGCTTAGGAGCACCAGGATGCCTGAACCCAGAAAGCGACTAGGAATTCTGTCTTTCGGATCCTTTGAAAAAATTCTGGTATAGGTATGCCCAACAAGCAGTGGATCCCCGACGTTCTACCTAGGTACTTAAAGCCTGAGCCCAGAAGCCCTGAACCGTAAACCTTCAACCGAAACTTTAGACCGACGTTCTACCTAGGTACTTAAAGCCTGAGCCCAGAAGCCCTGAACCGTAAACCTTCAACCGAAACTTTAGACCCTAAGCCTCAACCTAACCCTTATACCCTCAAAGGACTCCATTTTTAAGGCTGTTGGGCCCAAAGACCTCTTATATATGGCTTTTGGGCTATTTTGATGCTAAGGGTAATATTTAACCCTAAACCCTAAACCCTAAAGGTAAAAGACTGGAGCCGGAATGTAGAGCCAAAAGCCTCCGAGCGCCGCCGGCGCGAGCGGCTGCGGCTGCGACGGTGCCGGGATCTTCGACCACTCCTGTGGTTTAGACTAGATTATCGATTTTGCGCTTCTAGATGAACACTGAAAGCTCAACGGCTTGGGTTTAGGGTTTAGGGTCTATAGTAAACCTCAAAAATTGGAAACCGGATTAAGGACAAAGAGTGCTCGGATTCCCCATACATTACTCTTAAGGATTGAGGCGATCGGGTTTCCAACTTTTAGACGTCTTCTGTAAAGTTTCATGCTGTCAGAAGACTCTCTTGGCTTTCCTAACCCTAAACCCTAAACCCTAAACCCTAAACCCTAAACCCTAAACCCTATCTCTTGGCTTTACATGGCTTACAGGGCTTTCGTGCTGCGGGACTTGGGATTCGGATTCAAGGCTGCCAGTTCCTTACAGGGTGGATTGAAGGCTGCCAGTTTTTAATAGGGTTTATGGCTAGTAGCTCGCAGTTCGTAGCAGGAAGTGGTAGTAGTAGTAGTAGTAGTAGTAGTAGTAGTAGCAGTAGTAGTGGCAGCAGTAGGAATAGAAACCATTATTCCTGTTTGCTTTTGCTGCCATTGTTAATCGGATTGCTAGGTGCTCTTCGGTGTCCTTCTCAGGTTCTAAGGCCTCGGTTGGAGATTGGCGCATGTTGGCATGCTGTGCCTCGCCTTCGCCGGCGTTTGCTGGCACTTCTTCGGTGCTCCTGTTTCGGCTTAAGGCTGAGGTTTAAGACATAGGACCTTGGGTGGAGGGTGGAGGGGAGGCGTTGCAGGCATGTCAGGCCTGACGTGCTAAGCCGCTTTCTCAGGAAGCTGGTTGTGAGGATGGCTTCGTCGTATTGGAGTGAGCAGAATTCGCACGTGGGGCTGAGGCTTCAGGCGTGCATGCTTGACACAGAAACTGATGTTCTATTTTATGTAGTATATACTTTCTGTGATAGATATATGGTATAGCAAAACTTATATATCATACGTAATAGGTAATATATAATATGTAATATTTAGTATATGATGTACAGCGAATAAGATAATATATATATATATATATACAGATAGATTCAGATAGATAAATATTATACATGAAATACAGAACATATAACATATAGTGTAAAACAAACAGTATATAATATACAGTATATAATATCTAAACTATATAATGTAACATTCGGTCCTTTCTTCTTCTCGCCCTGGCCTTCTGTGCAGAGGAAGACCCTTCCGAGGAGTCCTTTCGGCGGTTGGCTCGCCTCTTTTTTCTTGCGTGCTTTTCACTCTCGGAATCGGACTTCTTGCGCGCAACTGGAGACTCTTCCGCGCTGCTTTCAGACTCCTTCTTCTGCTGCTCCTCGCTGTCTGAGTCCTCTTGAGCAGCCGGCTTCTCTTCGCTATCAGAGTCCTCCTTGGCTTCTTCTGCCTCAGCCTTCTCTTCGCTGTCAGAGTCGTCGGCTTTGGCTTCGGCCTCCTCTTCCTTCTCCTCGCTGTCGGAATCCGCCTTGGCTTCTGCTTCCTCCTTCTCCTCACTGTCGGAATCCGCCTTGGCTTCGGCCTCCTCCTTCTCCTCGCTGTCGGAATCCGCCTTGGCTTCGGCCTCCTCTTTCTCCTCGCTGTCGGAATCTGCCTTGGCTTCGGCCTCCTCTTTCTCCTCGCTGTCGGAATCCGCCTTGGCTTCTGCCTCCTCCTTCTCCTCACTGTCGGAATCTGCCTTGACTTCTACGGCTGCGTCCTCCTCGTCTTCGCCGTCCTTTGCAAGCTGGATGCTGTAGAAGCACTGCTTGTTTCGATTTTTTCGAGTAGACTAACTTTTGTATGGTCGTATAACAGCTGAAATCATGTGGAGGCACAAGATGATTGAAAAAACACTCCCGCGTCCAACCCGAAATGAGTGCTGCCAGTACGTACTCCTGACGGCCCTTGTACCAAATTGAGGGAGGAGGCCATGCTGACGTGTCTTGACAGTACTGAATCGATGGTCATCATTGCCATGGCGACACGGTCATGCCGGGGCGAGTACGAGGGTGATGATGATGACGACGACGACGATGATTATGATGATCACGGGGGAGGAGGACGCAGGTGCTATTAAGACGCAGATTAGGAAGCAGGTAAACGGTGAGGCTGGGGATCTTGACCGTGCTGCTGACCCTGGTGCCTATGGTGATGATGGTGGTAACTGTGGAGGCGAGGATCACGAAGAAAACATTGAAAACATGCACACAAGAGAGAGGGCGAATCTGGTGATAGCGATCTGACGACAACGGTGCTGCTGCTGGTGGTGCTAGCAGTGCTATGAAGTGGATGATTACCATGATGGCCCTCAAAAATCCTGATGAGCCCAAAACCACAAAAGCAACCCCCTGACCCCCAAAACTGGCCCAGGCCCTATAGCCCTACAAATTTCACATACAGCCCAATGAAATCCGAGAAAAAGAATACCAAGCCCTCATAGAGCCCCCTAAACCTAAACCCCTAAACCCTAAACCCCTAAACCCTAAACCTCTAAACCCCTAAACCCTAAACCCCCGGGAAAGTCAGCCTTGTCAGGCTTCTCCCCGTCACTCTCCGAAGCGAGCTTCGGCTGCTCTTCGTCCTGGCCCTCGTCTTCCTGAACGTCTGCAGGGTGGTCTAGGGTCTTTTACTGTGTTACAATATCTTCTAGTCTGCTTTATATCATACTACAGTGTAACATATTGAAACATAGTAGGGTTTAAGTTGCCAAGCTTTTGTCTGTTTTCCACAGCGTTTTGCCGAATTTCACGGGGTTTCGGGGCTTGGGGTTCTCTTGTTGGCCATAATAACACAAATAATGCTCACAATCGGCCACGTTTTTTTAGTCTGAACACATAATACGTACAGACACACACACACACACATGCATTCCTGCGTATATACACCTATCGATACATGCTTACACACTTTCACACTTACCTACCTGTGCATGCATATATATATATATATTTACTTATTATATGTACATGTAATTTGTATGTATGCATGTATGTGTGTATGTATATATATA